TATATACACAAGGTGAGTAAAAATTGTAAATTTAAAAAGGGGAAATAGGGATCATCAAAACAAAGTACAGAAACAAGTTGAATCAAAATGCAAAGATTATTTTCAAGCCTACAACTATGGACTCTTAAAAAAAAAAAAAACAAGGATGGAAATTGTGTCTACATTATTTTCTCAAACTACAAATCCATATTTTGGCTCTATGTCCACAGTACTTATCAATTTTATTAGAGTTAAATTAGGGATTTGTAGCTTGATAAAATAATGTAGACACTATTTCTAGCATTGTTTGTTTAATTTTTTAGGGTCACTAGTTGTAAGCTTGAAAAAAAAATAATCTTTGCATTTTGATTTAACTTGTGTACTTTTTTGATGATCCGTATTCTCTCTTTTTAAATTAACGATTTTTACTAATCTTTTTTCTTAAATTTTTTATGACCATTTATGGGGAATAAATTTTAAGCTACATGTGTGCATATGCATTCAGTTGAATATTACATATTTTCCGATAAGGTACATTACGTCTTCTCACATAAATACCTAGTCGTGTTCAGTGCTGCCCTCTATATGCAAAAAAGTTTTATTTTTCACCGAAGCTTATGTTTCCACTTTGAAAATTTTATCATTTACTTCCAGCACAATTTCCCAGGCTTCAGGTGGCAGTATGCGACTGAGGAATTATCAGCTTTAATACATTGGGAGATTGATCATTATATAAGTTTACCTTCATTGGGCCTCAAGTTTGGGGGCCCACACATTTGGAATACGGTCCACCAACTTTGGACAGATAAGCTGTTATAGTGTTATAGCTTTTTGAATAATTTTGTTATCAATGTTATTATTTGTAGTGCTTTGGTTTCAGTAACATGTGTGTAGTTAGATTTGTACATATTTTTTGTAAGGTTAGGGTTTTTTAATTAACGTTTAGTGATATTCTTCGTCATACAACGTTAGATTAGGCTTAACATGTGTCTGGCATTCATATAACTGGTAAATTGTAAATTAGGTTAAATATATTGTTTCTTCAATAAATACTATCCACTAATTTTTTATTGTCAATATACACTTACTTAATTTTAAAATTAACAACTTTTTCATTTTCGTTATTAATTATATTTTATACTTCTTACAGTTAAATTTGTTTGTGAGGATCCCTGGGTCCGGGGTTCGCCCAACTTCTCCCAGTATCGCTTGCCTTCCTCCTCAAACTCCAGTACTTGTTCAGGACGACATCTATTTTGACAATTTTCCTCCATCTGATTATGACTTGGCTTTCCCAGGCCTCTACTGCATCACATGCATCAGAAGAGTGTGTCACACGTCTACTGGTGGAGGGTTGTCACATGATGATTTGCATGTGAGATGCAGTTGGACCACATTGATCTTGGGGTACATGGGAGCTCAAGGCTTGTGGCATGCAAAAAAAAAAAATTTGCATATATAGGGCAGCAATGAACAAGAATGGCTATTTATGTTAGAGGAGATATGTACCTATCAGAAATACAATTTCAGTATAGGAAAATTGTAACTTTCAACAGTTTACTGCTACATTGGCTTTATTTCCAACCAACCACCACATTGAACTTATTCAAAATAAATAACAAATGTACAACGTATAATAAACGCATGTACTGGTATGTAACTACAATAAACAAAAGGTAAAGTTGTTCTCAAAGGACCTTCTTGAAGGCAAATATTGTATCATCACAGATTTAATGACTAGCTTTCATCAATGTCACGGTGTAATGTAACAAAACACAAGCAGCAAAAAGCAATTACATCAAAACAGAATAATGTTTCTTCTAAGATAATACAACATTGGTTAGTGCAATGTAAACAGACTCTGTAACATGTTTACCTTCTCAGGTCTAGATGACACGTGTTTTTCAACAGCCTGCTGTTCATAAGAGATTGCTAGAATAAGGTGGCAGAAATAATGTATACAAAATAGACAACAGCAATATGCTTAGCGTAATCCATTGATTATTGACAACATTTAGAAGTGCTACATTAACACCAACTATTTAAAAATAGCAATAGCTATATGAAATAGTGCTATATGCAATTGTAATAAATACTGAATATGCACTCATGATTTTAGCTAATTATGAGAAACAGTAGCAAGGGTCACCACAGGCATCTGAATAGGGAAATCTACTATGGTGATTGTGCGCTGTTAAAAACTAGCTCAAATATAGTCGTGGAAATCCACGTAGGGATAGCAAAGTCAAGTAATGATATGCAACAGCAAAATTGGAATCTTTCATGTGTTAGTTTTTGAGAATAGATTAATTATTAAAACATTGCCAAAAATAAATCAGACATATATTTATTGTAAAATCAAACTCATTCGCCAAATGTAAACAAACCGCGCGATTGCATAAACGCTTATCTATGGCATGGAACACCAAAATCCGATAAATAATTTTAAAAAATGTGTTTCTCCGGAAGAAAACCAGAGGTTTTCAGGATTTTTTAGAAATATCCGGATTTTCGCATATATCCAGAAGACTTTCATTATTAACTGCTGACAGTTTGCTCAAGCTACAAATCTCTATTATGATTCCACTATAAAATTGTTGCAAGAGATATCTACTGTAGTGTGGCATCACACAGGAATTTTGCACAAAAGCTGAGAGAGTACTTTTAAACTTAATTCAATCTTCTAAATTTTGTCGTGCTGCGAACTTTTCTAAGCCCTTCACTTTCCACCATAAAAAAATCCATTTTCCCTAACATGTGTATTTGTTGGAAACTACAACTCTTGCATTTTCTAGAGCATTACAATTTCATAATAGTGTGAACTGTTTAGTCTCAGTTGAATGATACACATTTACAAAAACACATAAGTACTGCAAGTGTAAGTTATAAAAGCATTACTTTATATAAGTTTTGGACATCCAATAGTGAACATTATGAATTCCAAAGAATGCACTCTTGAAAATTATCCATTAACTAGGGGAATCAGATTTGATATTTCTCGCATGTATTTGATAATCATTGATGTAAGAAAAATGGGGTAACTTGTTTAAGTGAATTTTAAGTACTAAAATGCATCAAAATGCAGGATTTTGGGTGCTGACCCCCCTTACTTGGCTTCAATTATTTTCAGGATTTTTAGGAAAGGGACACTTTCATCTCTGAGCTTAGAAGCTGTGAAGTTATATCTGTTATGGTAGAAAAATTTGAAAATATTTTAATATCATTTGTTATTATTACAATTAAGCTTGTGTACAATGTAAAGAGATATTGGCTTTCATGGTATTATGTGTTAGTCACTTGCAGGCCTAATTTCATATACATGACAATGATGACAACAATTGGAAAACTGTATAGTAATAAATATTGCTGGCAAATGTTTTTGTATTTAATGCTGCTCAAGAGTAATTTGTAATAAAACATTTTTTACATTTTAAAATTTTTATTAGTTCACATATACGATATATACTGACCTTAATTTGTATATGAAAAATAAAGTTCCCAAAAGACTGAACTTGTAGCTTTATCATATTTTTGTCTTTCAACATGATGTTGTCTGGAAAAGAATCTTACCTCTTTCCTTTTTTTCTGCACTTTTTTAGGACTATGTAGGTACCTCCCATCACTAAAGAATAAAGTACATGTTTTGATTTTAAAATTACAAACATTTTCATTATTATTATGTTATAGGAAACTGTGGCAGTTTTTCTGGCTCGTAAATACTGCTGTATGCCAGACAAGCCTGATTCCATTGGACTTAGTGCTTTAATATGGGGAGCTGCCAAAGGAGCTGATTCTGTGATTCAAACAATGCATGACTTTAGGTTTGATGTTTCAGTCCCAGACAAGAATGGAAACACAGGTATGCTAGCAAGATTTTGGTTAGCAATATTCTGAGATAGGTAGAATAATTGTAAAAAAGAAACTTTCTTGTTGTATCACTTTGTAATACATTCTGAGCTATCAGTTTAATATTCATTTGTTTTATTAACTTATTGATGTCTGACTTTTATTCATTGTTTGTGCTTTATATGAAATATTAGTGAAGCCTGGATAAGTTAATTTGCTTGATGTGAAATAAAATAAAATATTTTAAAGGAAAGTGATATGATGACTGTGTAAGAAAACAAAATAATTCCTGGTGTTTGAGTTATAACTAACAATACGAATTTTACCCTATACCATCAAGATGAATTCAATAGTAACTGTAAAGTCTTCCTATAATCTTAAATCTTTTAGGAGGATAAACTCTGACCACAAGTGGAAGATGACATTATGTTGTATGGATTGACATTGAAAACATTCTGCAAATGAGTAATAAACTGACAAAGCTCTTTGATTCATATTTCTCATTGATGTGGAGTGTCTAATTTTATCTAATGGGAATGAGAAATAAAGCTCTTGGGTATCCATCATTCATTATCTACCAGTGGAAAGAACACTTTATGGACATGGTACTTGCTGGCACATCACATCTCTCTCTCTTGTAACTGTACATTGAGCATTACCATTATGGTTCTAGTGGAAAACATTTTCATCTGACACACTTCAATACTCATACAAGTGAAGCCTAAACTGTAAAGCAGTTAAACATAAATTGTTACATTTATGTATTTTGACACATAGAATAACCTTCTAACCCATTTACTGCAGCTGCTCTAAAGGCGTGGAGTTTTTGCAAACCTTACACCGTATATGGCACACTCACATGCAACTGCTGTAGGTGGATCGTACCCTATTTGTCAGATCAGCAGTCAATGGGTTCAAGACACGTTTGGTTGATGCTGATTTAGAATAACCAACTGCTAATATAAAAGTTCTCACATATAAATTAATAGTTTTGTTTAGCTGGTTTTAAGTAATGGATAGTTGTAGAAAATATATTGTTAGGTTGTAGTTTTGTGATGTTAACTTCATTCTGTTGTGTGTTTTATTTTTAGCTCTTCATGCTGCTGCCAGTCAAGGACACTCTACTACAATTGCTTTGCTGCTACAACTTGGATCACCATTAGAAGCTGTAAACAGGGAGAAAAAGACCCCACTTTTATGGGCATGTGAAATGGGTCGAACTAAAGCAGTTCTGCTGCTTCTGGACAGTGGAGCTAGCCTTGCTGTCTCTGATGTTCAGGGAAGAACCCCTCTGCACTGGTATTTATTAATTTTGTTATCAAATAAAACAATAAATAAGAAGGTAAATTTAAAATGTTGGAAAAATTTAAATAAAAACAAGTTAATTAACCTTTAATCTTAAATAACCAAATCATCTTTGCTATGCTAAGTTTTGTGATAGTAAATATTTTTTGTGTTTTGATTGTAGTGTTTCCTAAAGTTCTCTTTGAGTTGAGGAATCATTCATTTTGTAAGCTGGTGTTTTAAAGGTGCTACTGTACTTCTGAATGGTAATACTTGAACAGTCGATCTCTTAAGAAAGAAACTTCTTCATCAACTTGAACTGAAAAACATCATCTTTCTGTTTATTTGTGAGAGGTAGTGGTTATAGTCCTGCTACTTGTTGTTAACCCTTGATGTATAGAAAGCTTTATCAACCTCTGTCTGACTCCTGGTGTGTTGTTTTCATTTTAGTACTATAGATCTTTATTGTACTTTGCCATCCTTTTTCAGGACACATTTTTCTCATCTTAGCTGTTCATGTTGTAAATTTTATTACCCAGACTTGCTGATTTTTTTCCATAATATGAGGCATTTTGTTATCTTTATATGTTATATAGCCTTTTATTACTAGGTGGTTTTGAGACTTTCACATTGTCAGGGTATTTTGGCATGTACATTACCTTGAATATCCCTAGCTTTACTTTGAGTTGAGCTGCTGTGCAACATTACTGTGTCCTGTTGCTGTTTTGAAGAATGACAGCCACTTTCAGTGGTTCATTCTCTCGCCTTGTGTTCCATATGCTACGGGGTAGAATCATGGTAGCTTTACAGTCCTAATCTAGGAATTGTTCCTGCTGAGTGGTTTTTATTTTAGTGTTACAAAGTTTCAAGTCAACCCTTATTGGGGCCAGTACCTATATCAGTTATCTAAGAAGTTTTGATGCAGTACCACATATTAATATTCTGTAAGTGTAGTTAACATATTTTTAAGTATTTGTTTTAAGTAAAAATATACTGACCTGGTTTGTTAGGCATTTTAAATTTGTAAAACAAGTATTTTGTTGTTGTTTTTTCAAAACTCATAGCATGAGTAGCAAGATTGTTTTATTGTCAAAGCAATAGTTCATTCTAAAAACAAAACCAATAATATACATCAAGATTTCCAAACAGTTCATTAATTAAAAGTTACGTGATATATGATATTTATATCAATGAATATTGAAAATTAGTACAATGTTAATTTCTATTTGGCATTGATTGCAGGTCAGCTTTAGGTGGGCACTCATACTTGTGTCAACTTCTAGTACAGCATGGATGTGATCCAGATGCTGAAGATTACTATGGGTGATTATTAGATAATAATTATATGTTGATTAATATATAAATGATGTTAGGACATTGTTTTAGATTGATTTTTTTAGTGTCATTTGATCACTCGGAGCTTTTTTAATGCTAAGTAAAATTTATAATAATTCTTGAAGACTTAATTCCTAAAATATTTTTTATTAAGACTTTTGACATTCTGCTGTAATATGAAACAGAAATTTGCTTGATGGTTCATATTTTTATAGCAAGAATACAGTGAGAAAAAATTATTTATATTTAACAGGAGATGTGCTCTTCATTATGCCAGTTACAAGGGCTACCTCAACTGTTTGTCTGTTTTGCTGGAAATCCAGGCTGACCCTAATCATATAGATAATGAAGTAAGTAAACAGTTAGTTAAAATTAATAGATTGCTGTATTACTTTGTTTTAACACTTTCAGCATGAGCTTGGTCCCTAGGACCAACCTTGTAACCATTTTGTGCTATAACTTTTGAATTAGTAAGTGAATGTTAACGAAATATGGCAGATTATCAATAAACTGATAATCTCGTAACCACCATAAAAAAATTAGGAAATAAATATAAATTATGCCTTTTTCATTCTAAAATTACTACAAATTATAACACGAAAACACAAATGTTTAGACTAAATAGCTTAAATCTCATGAAATTATACATTTGTATATTTTTATTATTTTAATTATATTGACCTTTCAGCCATGCCTGTCTAACAATACAGAAGTTACAATAAAGTGGCTCACATGCAATCTTGTTACCGTATCAAATAACATAAAACTGACATTTGGTCTGTGCAAAATAGACTAGTATTTTGTAAAATTCAGTGAAATTTTTATTAATATACATTTTATATATATATAGATTATTGCTATTTTGAAATAAGTTCTTAAACTTATTTTTATTAAAACATAG